GTGCTCAAAACATTATTGTTGAAGAAAGTCTTTAATGAACGAAAAATTATGCGCATGCCATTAATCATAAAAGGTGATACAGGTAAAGCAGAAATGAGAGAACTTTTCTAGAACCGTCTAACGCAGAGCAGAGACATCTCATTTGTTAATATGTACATACTATATTTCAGAGGTTGGAAAGACATTTTTATTAAAATTCTGTTCTTTACTCTTGTATTCAAAATTAGAAAATGATCCTGATCTTGATATAGCACGACGTGTGAGAGAGCGAACAAGTTTATGGTTGTTGTATAATATTATTCGTAAAATTTTGAGAAAGATACCGATGTTGCTGGATAAGTTTTGGATAGAATAAAAGAGTAATAAGAATCGAAAGTGGTTAGATTCAGCAACGATTATGTTCAATGGAAATGAAGTAGATGAAGATGAACAAGAACAGAATGTGATAGATACAATAGATAACACATCTGCACTTAAACACAGTGAAATGTCATTACAAAATGATGATTATGAAACTGAAATTTTGCAACAAATATGAAAAAAAATCTTAATTGTTTCACAATCGTTTGGTTTAAATTCACATATCGGTCGAAGTACAGGAGTACTTCAAAGTATTACACAAACATTAATCGAAACATTATGCGAATATGGTCTATCACAAGGAACGAAAGTAAAATTGCTGCTACCAAGCGCGCAATTACTTAATTTGCTTAAAACTGCGCAATCGGCGCCTATTGGAATTAGTATAAAGATTTTCAACAAATTTATTTGTTATTCTCAGACAAAATTGTTATTTAATCGAATGTTACTTCATCCAGATGTAACTGAAGATGTAACAGACCAATCGTGTTGGTTTGTATAATAAATGTTGATGCAATTGTTGATAGACACTGGAATCCAATTCAGTCCCTACAGACATGGCATTAAACTTGGTGAAGAAACGTTTGATGTGACAAGAAATAAACTTTGGTGGATGGATTTTAAATTTAATAATAAAATCATTTTCACGTTTAATCGTTCTGTGTCAAAATCTTCCACATTGGAACATAGACGAGCAGTCCGAAGTAGAGTCACATAAGGAATTTTACTATGAATGTGACGTGGATGATCGGATTGATACGGAAAAGTGTAGGATTCAGCCACCGATTTGTGAAAGACAGATATTTTCAATTGTCCGTTGTTATTCTCGACGAAGCTATCAAGATATTCCACAGACTAACCAATCATGCTTGTAGTTTGAATATGTTCATCGTTTTTGCTGGCTGACTCCAAGAAAGCTTGAAGGCAGATCCGGCTATAATCTAAGTACGTCGAATACTAAGATTGTAAAGGCATCCAAAGAGTCTTATGAACTATGCTAAGAAGGTTTACATTTTTAACTCAAAAGATTAAATATTTACTGTGATATTGAAAAAACAACTCTTACAGTCTTGTCAGAGACCTGATCTTTGAGGAGGGAGGGTGCGTACCCCCCTAAAAATTTAAAAGAACAGTAACAAGGTAATTACTGAGTAACTATGCAAAAAACAGAGTTTACACCACCTCGAACGTGAATTTAAAATAAACTTTATACTATCTCGGACAAAAAACTTTCGTTACCCCCCCTCCCCAATGTCCGGCACCTATTCAGGTCCCTGAGTCTTGTTAGACATTTCGTATAACAAGCAGACATTTTAATACGTAATAGAATAATTGCGTAACATGTATCGACCACTAGACGTCCTTCTTTGGCCTTATGTCGCATTAGCGCTTGTCTGACGATCGGTTTTTTGTGTCTGTGAACTCACTAGAGGTAAGGTGTAATTCTCTCTCAGAAAAAATATTTTTGATATTTTTCTATATGTGGAAAAATCGGTAGGATCTAAATACACGAATTATTTAATCAAGAAGATCCAATGAACAGCGAATTATTTCAAAACAAAGATTGTTTTTGTAACACCTGTTTCCAAGATCCTGGTGCAAGAATTAAGAATTCAGGATATTGGCTTCTTAGTGTTTTCTCGACAAGATCTTGCAGCATCTTTTTAGAACGAATGTAACAGTCGCAACCACCGAAACCATAGAGGTCTTCAAGTTTTAAAAAATCAATTTTTTGAAGAAATTGTGAAAATTGCGTCCTTAGGCCTTTATCTCTCTATGTCCACAGGCGTGGACATTGATAAAAGCAATATACAGAAATAACGAAGCAGTGTATCAAAACCGGAGCTTTGTAAGATGAAAATTTTGAAGCCCTTAAAAAACAACCTGGTTTTTGAAAATAATCAAACATCTCTATTTCAATCATCTTGGGGAAGTTTATAACAATTTCTTTCCTTTTCTTCCTCGAAAACTATATCTAAAAACTTATTTTTAATATGACACAGGCATTATTTGATAGAAAAAAATTAAAAAGCCGCTGAGAGCGGGAACTCTTCCGTTCGCGCCTAAAACATAAAGTCAAGAATCAAAAAAAAGTATTCTCGGATATTTTGTCACATTGTGAGCAATACCGAAAAATTATCAAAGAGTGAAATCTGCAAAAATGTCTTCTATAAGATCTCAAAAAATCAACAGACTTCCCGCGAGTATAACAACATGTCAATCGCATAAAACGACAGTACGAGAATCAAGACTCAGGAGTTGGTGAAACGTGTGTAAACATTAACACATAGTTTGATTTCAGAATAATACACTCTTAGGAGCAAATACTAACACGATCATTGGCATAATACAGATTAAGATGGAACTGCCATGGATAAGGACAACTAGTGACATCAACTTGCACTTCATACTTCTTCTTTGTACGCTCATTTAAGCACTGAACTGTTTTTTCATCGCAGTTGAGTGTCAGTTCCACTGTATCATTCTCGCAAATGTCACCATCCGAAACTCCATATCCGTTAGAACGTACACCGTTCAACCAGACCTCTGCTCGTCTAACAACCCACCCATATGCTGATGGTGATGAGTAGGACTGTGCTTTCATTGGTGTTGATGATGAAATGATTCCAAAAAATAGCCACTTGCTTGAGCTTTTGTCAATCTTGAAGCGTATGTTATGAATACCTGTTGAATACAAATTTCTTCCACGAATCTCTGTATGGGTGGTAGTACCACCATGAATAGCAACTACTCCACTGTCTTCCACAGTGACATCACCACACACTTTCTCAAATATTTCTCTTGACTTCTCACTGATTTTGATTTGTTTAATCCAAGATGATTGTGCCTGCTCTTCCATTATGATGTTTGGATCTGCTATTTTCTCTTTCAGTTGCTTGATTTGTTCCATCCACTTAGCTAGATCTGGCTCAATGTAGTCATCGGCATCTTGACCTTGTGTTAGTTCAACACTTAGGCTTTTAACGCACTCTTTCACATGATGTTTGTTGTGATTCAACAGTTTGATGATATCGTTTCGAGCTTGATCAGCAAGTGTGGTGATTTTGTTGATCGAATCCTTCTTCCACTGATCAATTTTGTTTAGGAGAGGATGAGATGAGTGATGGTCTTCTTCTATGTCTTGTTTGAGCTT